TTCAGTGATGTGCCAACAACCTACCATTCATGTTACAATTACAGACAATCAGAAAATGCAGTTGTTCAGCAGTTATAAAAATTGGTCAGTAATAATCAGAGTGCACAGTGGAATTTTTCAGAGACAGGTTTAACTTTTGACCGCTACATGTAACTAACCAACTCACAGGTTAGTTCTCATACCCACCCTCCATGCTTTGGTGCAGAACATTAGTGCACATCCATTACTCAGCTTTCTGAAAATTTATGTAAGTATCTAAATATTGAATTTTCTATAGTTTTCCTTTATCTTCACTAGAGAATTTCAACAGATAGAAGTTTTTCTTTGCTTAATAAAAAAAGGAAGCATAATCCTGTGATTATGGTACAAGACTGTGGTATAAAAACAATACCTCATACATTCCGGACTTCACCACAGACTTTCAGTAAGTCCACAGAAAAGTTGGGTCCTCCCTGCATACAAAATGGGTATAATACAACTCACAGGATATAATAAATCTGCATTAATTAAGAATTTTAAGGCACTTACATGCAAAGGCAGAAAGTATTGATGCAACTTGCACATACTGCAAGACTTTTGAAGGGCCTTTTCCTTTTAGCAAGTTAGTTGGAACTGAAAAAAACAGAAAAAACAAGACCTATGCCAGGGACACACAGTGCTATTGAATTTCACAGCCTATTTACTGACACTACATACAGGTACGTTATACCTGACAAAACTATTTAGTTACCAAATATATTAATTATAGTACTGATCACAAACAATGTTTAAAAGGCAGTGGTGTTTTGTGTATTTATATATGCCTTTATATCACTGTGTTTGATGCAACATACTTGCAAGAGAGATGTTAAGACATTTCTGGAAGCAGGCATCAAGGAGAGATTGCTCCCTAACCTCTTATTTTATCTACTTAATGCAATTAATTGCATATGATAAGTTCTTACCCAATAATATGGCTCACTGAGATACATTAAAAACCAAGAGATGTGAAAGGCAGACCAAAAGGAGTGAATATCATGAGCAATTTCATTTTGGAAAAAGCTCTTGGAGATTTCAGACATTACTCACATGAGTAAAATTTACACTACTGGGCATGGCAATATTTCTGACTTGAATGCTAGCATGGAATGATGGATGTTCGATAACACTACAAAATTTCAAAACATTAGCAAGCGTTATAAAATTTTACTTAAAATATTGCATAACTATGAGCATAAGGAACCTGATCTGTAACTCATGTTATTTGAGGCACTCCACTTCTGTGTCAACAACTATGTATGACAGTACAGAAAGCTTATGAGGAAATTGCTTAGCTATCTCTAAGCTAACCAGTTTAGCAGACCTGGCAGATCATATGATACACACAAAAATATGCATCTCTCCAAAACAGAGGGGTTTCACAGGTTTAGTTTCCCTTCTCTCCTCACCTTTCCCATAATCATTATGTGGATTAAAAGGGCCTTGATAAACATTATATAATGACCAATAACCCATCTGCAGGTTGGTTCAATGGTATACATATTAAAGAATGAGAATCTGCAGAGCCTGCTCCTCATCTGGGAAACTTTCCCCATGGTGAATAACCTTGATTCCAGTGTGAACTTGCCAGAGGTGAACATAGAGGGCGAAAGGTCATCTCCCTACCCCAGGGCATGCAGCCAAGCTTGCGCTCCCGCATTTGTTTGTTTACTGCATATTCAGAAAACGTACAGTAAGAGCCTGGGTTCCATCAATGGAAATCTCCCATTTTTTTCAGTATGTAAACAGATTAATATGATTTGCTTTAGATGTCTATACTAGGAAAATATGCATTTCACTTTCGGAATGAAATTTTCCTCTGCTGACTGTAAAATGAGCAGAGGATGACTAAATCAGTTATAGACATGTACACATCTACATCTTGACATTTCACCATAGAAGTCAAATTCCGAATTTCTAGAAAAATTGCAAGAGCTCTTAAGTCAGCAAAATGCTTGCCTGCATCTAGCAAAATATCTTTAAAATAGTGGGAAATTTTTCTGTCCTAAATGTGCTATTGAAATACCATTGAAGTGGACAGGAAATGTGACCTAGAAGGTTACAGTGAGATCACCTAGTTGCTGAGCAGAGACTCTAGGCCCTGACAGGCAGCAGACCATGTCAGGCAAGGCCAGGTTGCTCTACCCCTACTGGTGCCTGGGGTCAGGCAGCGCTGTGCAAATCATCCTTTGGTCAAATCTGCGCCAAGACTTGGTGAAAGAGGAGAAGAAAGAGCAGAGGTGGCAGCAGCAGCAGCTGTTCCTCACCTCAGTGCTTTCCTCCTTTGTCACTCGCTCTTTTCCCTCCCAACCTCTAGCCTCCCTGTCCCCTTGGCATCCTGTATCTCCCCCCTACCCCAGCTTTCAAATTTTCCCTTCGACTTCCTTCTCTCAGTATGACTAGCTTGGTAAAGTTACGCTATTGCCCCCAACCACACGATTCCCTGCCTCCTCCTGATCCATGCACATCCTTCTGCTCAGGCCCTGCTTCCCACTGCTCTGGTAAACCGATGGCCTCCTTCCCTCATGCCACAGCACGGAACAGCACATCTGAAAGCCTGATGTTAGCGAATACCAGACTATCTTGCTGGAATTTGGAATAAAGTAACACTGGTCAAGCTGGTTAATCTGGGTAGAGTCTGGAAGGTTCCCAGCCAGCGAACCTCTCAGACATGAGAGGGCATGACGGAGGAAATAGGAGTGAGGAAGATAGAATAAGAAGGGGTCAATGAGACCATCTCCAAAAAAACTAGGAACCACAGCTGACCTGCTTTCCATCCTTTATGACTGCAGATAAATTTAACTGGAATTAGAGCTTAAAGGTGATTTAAAATACTATATAAATGCCTCTTCTTTAAACAAATGAGTATCTTTTCTCCTTGTAAAGTCCTCTGGGAATCTGTGATTGTATGAGATCACAATCTTGAAAATCTAGTCACACAAGATAATCATCCCATACAAAGTTAAAAGCACGTGAGTTTTTTGACTGATGTAATGCTGACATACAGCTGCATAGAGGTAGCACTAAAATTTGAAAAAAAACAAGGCAGAACAATCAGAAGGTGTATGGTGGCTGGGTTTCAATGAAGGTAAGCTGATAATTTAAAATTCTGGGTTTAGATGCACCTAGAGACATACTATATGAATTCCAGTGCAGACTCCAGTTGAAACTGTAGTTTGGTCCATAGATAATTTATGTTACATTATGAGGCAGAACTGATTGTATCTAAGTATGTAGCAAGCATGAAAATTAAAAGGCAGTTAAATATGAAACTTCCCCATTACTCTTCTCCTCCTACTTATATCTTTCAAGTATGAGACACTGTAAAGATCAGCTTCAAAATAAAGAGAAAACTCAACTTAACACTACAAAAAGTATCTATCCTCTTTCATTTTTTTAATAGGTTCTACTATGTAGCATGTTTCCACCTTCCCTGTAGAAGACTCAGGAGCCAAGAGTGGAACATAGCTCCCTCTACAGCTTGAGTATTCGATGAAAACACAGCAAGCAAACCCCCACCTCTGAAAACCGCGTTTAAGTGCTTAATCCAGCCTCAGACAGCTGGTATCAGGGGAAAGAGCAACATATATACAAGAGAGGACAGGGAGCACGTGGCAAAGGCTGCAGGCTGAGATTTGAAAAACCTGCTGTCGGAGACAGAGCCTGTTACCTGTGCGAATGACACACATTTCCAATGTTAGTTTATAAGAAAATGGTTAACAGGTCCTTGATTTATGGGGAAGATGAAGTACAAATCTCTGAACGCTTGGAGGTTATTTGCTGTCTGGTAGTACAAGGGAACCTCGACAGGGTTCGCATACACGTGCATAGGGAGTGAGAGAACCAAGGATTTGAGCTGGCTGAACGGTCATATCCGATGGCTCATGTGGTGAGATAGGAACTGACATACATATCTAACCCTCCAGAACTCACAGAGTCTAAGTTAATTAACCAGACATCACTTCCCCAGGATCACCTGCCCTCCAGAGCCATCATTTCCAAGCAGGGGCCGTGGTAACACCAAGAGGTGTTAACCTCTTGCCCTTGACAGCCAGCCAAAGCTGTGTAGTGGTTGAAGCTGGTCCTTGAGTGCTGCCCGCTTTCACCAGTAGTTCAGCCTACGGCCAAGGGAGGGTGAATGAGGTGTGGTACAAGTGTATGGCGACACTGAGAAGGCAGGAGAGCAGTCTAGGCACTGCAGGCGCATCCGAGTGGACGCTGGTACTGGGCACCGTGCTGGCGTGACAGTGGCAGGACTGGAGGCGACCTCTCCCTGTGCTCCTGCCGGGGACCTGCCGCCCCTTCCCTCGGGGCTCCTCTCGTTACAGGAAGGCCAGCTTCCCCGCACATCCCCTCTTCTCCGCTTGCTCAACGCGGCTACGTCGGAGCACTTCCGCCAGGCCCGCTCTCTTTCCCCGTAACCCCGTCCGAGCCTCCTCCGCTCCCACCGCCCGTCTCGCCG